GCTAATTAAATGCCATGATTTAATATACTATAAAATGTAATATATGTGATATACTATGAACATGAATAAGTATTATGTTTCTGACATTGTCATATTTATGAACTAATATTTTCTCAAAGAAGCCTTTTAAATGTAAAAAATATACTGTATGTAGTTAACTAAAAATGTTCAACACATGCACATAAAATAACATGCTGTATTATATACCATCGAGTCAGAACTGGCTCCTAATGACCTTATGAACAACAGACTGGAACGCTGTCCTGTCCTGTGCCATCCTCATCAGCTCACACACTTGAGCCCACTGCTACAGTCACTGTGCCAATTCATCTTGTTGAGAGTCTTGCTCTTTTCACTGGCCCTCCACCTTTCCAGGCAGGATGTTCCTTCCAAAGAATAGCTGCTTGTAGCAACAAGCACAAGAGAGATGAAGCTGCATCATCTTTGCCTCCGAGGAACATTCTGAATGCACTCTTCTCAAGACATATATTTGCTCTTTTAGCAGTCCATGGGATATCCAGTACTCTTATCCAACATCACAACTCAAGGTATCAATTCTTGTTCTATCATCTGTATGCACTGTCCAGCTCTCAGATGCATAAAAATGACTGAAAAGACCAGGGCCTGAATTAGGCATATTTTAGTCTTCAGACTGACATCATTGCTCTTCAGTTTTTTGGAGAGATCCACAAAAGCAGACTTTCCCAATGCAATATGTCACCTGATCTCCTGACTGTTGGATCCAATGGTGTTGATTATTGATGCAAGCAAGATAACTTGAATCCTTTCTCCAACTTTCATAATAACTAACAGTTGGCCCAATGGGTGAGGATTTTTGTCTCCTTGAAGTTGAGATGTAATCCATATTGGAGGCAGTAGCCCTTGATCTTTGACTGCAAGTGTTTCAAGTCCTCAGTTTCAGCAAGTAAGGTTGTGTCGTCTGCATAATACAGGTTGTTTATGAGTCTTCTTTCGATCCTTATGCCCCATTCCTATTCATAGAGTCAAACTCCTCACATTATTGCTCAGCATACAATCAGTATGGAGAAAGGGTATATCCCTGAAATTCACCTTTCCTAATTTTAAACCATGTAGTGTTCAGCTGCTCCATTTTGACAACAGCTTTAAAAAAATATATTGGTTTACATTCATTTACATTGTGTTTCATTCATGTAATTGTGTTTTATATAAGTTTTCATTTACAGAGTTTCATACAATATTCATATACATAGTATTTTATATAATTAATTACTACTGATCAGTGCTCATAATTACCCTGTCTTTTCGAGTCCCCACTGAATCTTTGCTATTCCTTCACACCCCACCCTATTTGGCCACTAAACTTTGATGTCCTAGTGATTTCCTACCTTCCCCTTTTCCCGCTCCTTTCCTTTGTTCGCTTTCCCCTTCTAAACATGTACGTACAACTTACCAGATAACTTGAACAACCCATTTTGATCTAAGTATAGATTTTGTATTATGACAATTAAGTGTTCTTGAATTCCCATTCTTCTCAATGTTAGCCATAATTTGTTATGATCTACACAATAAAATGCCTTTGTATCATCAATAAAACAGACATTCTTCCGGCATTTTTTGCTTTCAGCCACGATCCAGTTGACATCAGCAATGATATCCCTGATGGCCTCTTCTCACTTGACCTCACTTGAATTTCTGGTAGTCTTTTATTATTGTACACTTCTGTTCATTTTTGAATGATCTTCAGCAATATTTTGCTTGCATGTGATGTTAATGATATTGTTTGATAATTGCTGCATTCTGGTGGTTCACTCTTCTTGTTCTTGGGAACAGGAGCAAATATGGATCTCTTCCAGTGAGTTGGCCAGGCAGCTGTCCTCCAAACTTCCTGCCCTAGATTGGTGAGTCTTATCAGGGTTGCATCTGTTAGGTGAAATTTGTCAATTGTTTTCCCATTAATTCCTATAAAATGTTTTGCCAATGTCTTCAGTGCAGACTGAATGCTCTTCCTTTATTACCTACCACTAGCTCTTGTTCATATAGGCACTTCTTGGAATTTTTCAGTGTCAATCAAATCTTTTTGCTACTGTGACTCTGTGTACTTCTTTCATTTCTTTTGATGCTTTCTGGATGATTCAACATTTTACCCAAAGAATTCCTCAGTATTGCAAAATGAGGCTTGGGTTTTTCAGTTTAAGAAATGCTTAACAAGTTCCTCCTTTTTAATCTGACTCCAGCACTTTGTACATTTTGTTACAATACGTTTAACACATTGTATTGTTTCTTTTCAAGCTATTCTTCTTAAATCTTCTCTTCTGCTCTTTTACTTCAGCATCTCTTCCCTTTGTTTTGACTTCTCAGCACTCTAATGCAACTTGTATAATGTCTTCAGACATCCATTATGATTTTTTTCTTTCTCCTCTGTCTTTGTAATAATGACCTTTCGCTCTTTTCATGCTATCTTCTTTGTCACCTGGTCTTTAATAATTGGTGCTCAGTGCCTCAAACTTATTCCTGAGATGTTTTTAAATTCAGGTAGGATGGACTCAAGGTCTTACCTTGGTTCCTGTGGACTTGTTTTAATTTTCTTCAGCTTCATTTTAAATTTGCACATGAGTAACTGATGTCTGTTTCACAGTCAATATCTAATCTGTTTTTGGCTGCTGATACTGAGTTTTTCCAATAATTCTTTCCACTGACAGTCGATCTGATCCCTGTGAAGTCCATCTGGTGAGGTCCATATGCAAAGCTGTTATTTGCATTTTTTTGAAAGATAGTTGATATGAATAAATTATTGAACATACAAAAGTCAATAATTCAATTTCCAGTCTCATCTGTTGCCAAGACAGTACTTTCCAACTACCATTCCTTTCTCATTATTTTTTTCTTTTGCATTCCAGTCACCAATAATTATTAATGCAGCTTAATTTCATGTTTGATCCATTTCATACTGCAAATGTTGGTAAAAATCCACTATTTCCTCCTCTTTGGCTTTAGTTGGTGCATATATTAGTACACTGCTGTTGTTGTATAATAGCCACATCTGTATAATAGTGCATCCTGTCACTCACAACATTGTGCTTTAATGATAGATCTTGAAATTGCCTATTTTAACTATGAATGCAAGGCCAATCTTCTTTACTTTTTCATTCCTGACTTAATAGGACATATGATTGTCTAATTTAAAATGGCCCATGTCAGTCCATCTCAGTTCATTAATGCCTAGAATGTTGATCTTCATGCGTTTCATTTCACTTTTTTACAACTTCCAGTCTTCCTATATTCATATTTTATACATTCTATGTTCCAATTTTTAAAGGATGCTTCTCCGGCTATTTCTCCTCATTTTGAATGACTTTTCCTCTGGGCTCTAACTCTAATACTACTATATCCACCTGTGTTCTTCTAATTGTTTGTAGGGTTTTTAAAGGCTTTTCATTTTTTAAGTGGATGGTCAATCCTTCTTGCTAGTCTATCTCAAACTAGGAGTTTTGCTGCAACCTGTCCACCATGGGTGACCTGTCTGGCATTTTAAACACCAGTGGCTTAGCTTCCAGTATCACACAGCATTTACACCAGTACAACTGACTGACAGACAAGTGCTGCTCTGATAAGAGCAAATGATAAACAAGCAAGCACAGACATATCTAAGATATAAAGTAATTAGGAACAAACTAATCATTCTTCAATATAACAAACTGAAAGACAGGTGTTGTGACTCTAACAAAAAGCTGTAAAAACAATCAGGCATACAAATATCACCGGGCAGAAC